GTTTCCTCCCCTCATCTCTGCCTGCCCAGTAGCACCGAGCTTACAAGAAAAACATTACATGTGGCGCCACCTAGAGGCAGAAGATGAGAAAGACGATTTTCTGGGGAAGTTTCTGTCCCCCCCCCACCCTATTTTCCTCCCCCTTTATATTTCTTGGGTGTCCCTTATTCCAAACTTGCCCTCCGAAGCCCCTCATGGATTTCTGCCATCACACCAGGGGCAATGAAAAGTCGTGCTCAAGAAATGGCTGGGAACAGCAAAAGCAAGTAAAATTCAAGTTCCATTTTTGTACTTTTCTGTCCCTGGACTTGGCAATCCATTAAAATCTTATCATTTGACAAGATCCTTGAATTCATCCCCACCTCCTCTCTACCCCCACCTACACGTGCACCGTGCATGCGCACGCACACACACTCAGCCCGAGATGTGAAAGTCTGTACATGCTTGATCAAAGACATCGATCAATTTCCTTTTTCAAAGAAGAGCACTTCCTGACACAGAACTCAAACCTCCAAGACCTCTCCCCCATGTGGTCAGGACACAGAGAGATGGCAGCTAAAATCCGACACCAAGCTGGAAGCAGATCTTAAGGCTCGTGACTGCAGGTCACGTGTGAGTTCCGGAAATTTGGACTGCTGCTTTATTATTACAGCGTGTGGCAGTAATTACACTACCGTCTCTTCTTGCAAAGACTCACAGCACTAATGGCCATTTCAGAAATCATTTGCAGAGAAGAACATCATCAACGTTTCTCAGTTTTTTTTCCAAAAGCAGGTTAGTAGTGATAACATACAGAGGAATCCGATTCGGCATGATGACAGAGACCCAGGTAGAGAAAGCCTGTGGTCTCTGGTGGAGGAAGGTGATGGGCACTTATTCTCTGGGACAACAGGCCAGTTCTAGTAATCTCTCTGTGGCTCAGGTCCCTCATCTGGAAATAACAACAGTCCTTTCTTCATAAGGCTTGTGACAATCAAATGAGTTAATATAGCGCAACGTGCCTGGGACAGGGCAACCCAGGGGAAACTCTCAAAGTATCTCTGCTTTCATGGGTCTTCCACGTTTTTCTAAAACATCTTTATTCCTTTTACTACCAAAAAAAAAAAAAAGTTAGTTGAATAAAATGATCATTGAGGACATTTTATCAACCAAAAGCAGAAATTCACTCAAACTACCCCAAAATGAGCCTCTTCTCTCAAAACTCTAAGGCGGAGGTTCTCCAGATTCACAAGGTGGAAAATTTAATGACTCAACCCCAGGTGGAAATTTTATTCTAGTCCATTAATAGATATTTCACAAAGTCAGAAACATGACTAGTAAATAGGCTCTGGGAAAACATTCAATTTCTTTAGATAATTAAAAAAATAAAAATGAAAATATATAACTTTTCTACTAAATTGGCCAGAAAAAATATTTTTTAGAGATACTACCCCATGCTGCCAAGACTAAAATAAAACCAGAATTCTGACACGTTGCCAGTGAAGGAGCACACGCTGATACAAACCTTTAGCAAAACAAGCGGGCACTGGTTTCAAGAACCAAAAAAGGCTCCCGTCCTTTGACCCAGTAATTTCACTTGAGAACCTACCCTAAGAAAATCTCTCAAAACAGGGGGAAAGTCATGTCTACCCTCACGTTCACAACACTGAACACTATTTCTAACAGTGGAAAGCTGGAAACAACCTAAATGCCAAATTATGAGTCAATGAACTATACGATACCGTGTGAATGGACGGTTTTTGCAACCATTAAAACTGATGGAGAAATATGAAAAAATACATTAAAGTGTTAAAAGGTCAAAATGTTACCGGGGAAAAAGATCAAAATATAACACTGCATACAGCTGGGAAAAGCCCTGCATGAACACTTCCAAGACGCTAACAGTGGTTGTTAGAGGTCAGACTTCAGGTGCCATGTTGTTTTTCTCCTCCCCGTTCCCCCAACTTTTACAGTTTGCGGTTTTTATCATGTTCATGATGAAAGAAAAGTTTCTTCCTGTCTCATGAAAATCCTTCCCACCGCCTCATGTCCCACCACGACAGAGCTCTCCAGGCTCTTGCCTCACCCTTTGGAAAGGGCAAGAATTCTCCTTTTTTATGTGTACCGTCTTCAAAATGACAAAGTTATTTCACAGGATACTTGAGGCAATCACCTCTCGGTGGCGAGGAAATCAGCCACCTTCACTCTCCTCCCCATAAGTACCACACTGTTCCAAAGAACCGAAGAAAGGACCAAGAGGCGGCATCTGAATTCCACAGCAGCCGCTCTCAAAGGGCCCTCGGAAAGATGGTGCAGTTGGGACCCTGAAAACCTCAGCGGGGCCCAGCCTGGCTGGGGCTGAAGCCACCGGGCATACTGCCCTCCACGTGTGGATAAGTTCCTTCAGTGACCCCAAACGTTTAAACAGCCACCACAGGGCAATGGTTAGGTACACGGCACCAACGTGATGGGACAGGAGGCAACCTCACAAAACAGCAATCGTGAAGGCTAAATATGGTCGCCTGGCAGGGGGCCTCCAATGTGAAGTGGAAAAAAGCGGGTAACTCCATCACACGTCGCCGCGACCACACCTGTATAAAACAATACGTATGGACTGACCCGTGACAGCTAACGTTTACACACCGCTTACGACACCCAGGCGCCGTGCTGGGTGCTCAGTGTGCATTTAACCTTCACAACAAGGCTTACCAGGAGCCCGGCTCGTTTCACTTTGGCTAGGAAGACACCGAGGCACCAGGAGGCTAAGGATTCTCATTCACTCCTCCCCAGGGCGAAGGTCTCGAACGTCCTGGTAACTTCCCTAAGATCACGAAACGTGGGATCTGGGCAGAGGGGTGGGAGGGTACGTGGGGATATGGGCCGTCTGGCCCCAGTGTTCACATCCTCAACCCCCGGACTGGGAAGAAATATGGAAGAAATTCAAAACACAAGTAGAATTTGTTTTAGAAAAGGACCTCTTTTCCTTCCCTCTCTTATCTAAACCTTTTAATGTTCTGTTCCGACAATTTAAAGACAAAAAGAAAAAAAGAAAGGCAACAGAGGAGAGGTTCTTTAATGCGTGTGTTTGTGTGCACGGTTTTTAAAATCATGTTTTGATCAAAACACTAAATAAATGCCAATCAAGTCTTTATTATGCCTGGGGGTTAAGGGTAGGAAGTTAGGAGGGAAAAAAAAAAAAAAGACCGAGAACAGCCAAGACAAGCCTGTTCCAAACCAAACCCAACAGCGCCAGGCTGCTGCCTGCCCCATCTTTTTTTTTTTTTTTTTTAATATTCTCTTTCCATCACCTTTTCCAGTTTATGCATGAATGCTGAAATCATGGAACTGGCCTGACACAAGACACAGAATGTCACAGAGTATCCTCACATCACAAAGCTGCTATTGACAGAGCTGGGAATAACACTTAAGTCTCAGGTCCAAACCCTGTATGCTTTCATAAACTGACCCTGTCCTGAATATTCTCGGCTCGGCTAAAGAAAATCAGTATTTATGAGAGTTCACAGACACACTGTATTCCAAAAATGCTCACTGCACATCTTCGTGGAGTGTTTAATAATGCTCAAAACTGGACAAATTACAGAGTTCACGTACACGATCTCATGTGTAACTCAAATTACAAACGTTACGTTTCTAGGAATTTTGAAGACCTGGACATAGAGAAAGCTGAAATAGACATTAATACTTTTTTTAAAATTCTGCAAAAATAAAAATGCATTATGTATACTGGTCCGTCTGGAAAAAAGTCACATGCAATAAACAAAATGAATATTCCCCCCCCCCAAAAAAAAATTCCTAATCCACCCCCTCCCAAACCTTCTCTGAAGAGTGAGGGGCAGGCAAGCAGGGATACGGGACCCCACAACAGACGAAGGGCCAGTCTCTGAGTGGGCAGCCTGCCCAAGGGAGCGCAGCATGAGGGTGGGCAGGCTGGCTCCAGAGGTGGGCTCCAACCCAGTTTTCCTTCCCGTGCGTCAACAGACTGGGCCTCGAATCCCAGTAACAGCTACGTGAAAGTTCAAATTATCATCTCCTCAGCCATTTCCTCAGCTGGCTTCCAGAAAGAGAGCAGATTCGGAGCCAGAACACACAGTTCTCCTGTCAGTGAGGCCCTGTGGCCTGGTGCCCGAAGCCCACAGATGAGCCAAGCAAGAACCAGTGTCCAGCTGTGTGGTCCCAAGGCAGTGACCCACAAGGGAACCCTGGGCCCAGCACTCCTCAGGTGTCACTCCCGTCTGCCAGGGTGCTGGAGCCGAGCTCACTCTGCAGCGCCCAACTTTGGGGCAGAAGAGAACTACACTCTACAGGGCAGGGAGCGTGATCATCCGACACCCCAGACACCCTCACTCCCATCCGGTCCCTCCTTTCTTGTAGATCACCACAGACTCAAATCTCATGCATATTTCGAGGGCACAGAACAGAAAAGAGGCTGAAGAAGGAGGCAGGTGGCGAGGATAAGAAAGAACCCCCAGCTCCTGGTGGTGCCCATTTGGAGGGGATGCCCAGGCCATACTAGCAGAGGAAAGGGCAGGTGGCAGCAAATTACTATCTACTCGCCACCAGCTCCGTGTGGGCTACTTGGCATGATGCTACGCCTTATTTAGCCAGAAAGAACATTTCACAGCGTACAAGACGTGAAAGATGGTTACCAGTCCAGGCCTTGGGGTCAGGCAGCCCTGAGTTCAAATCCAGATCTGCTCCTTGCTAGTTGGGAGATGCTGAAGCTACATCACCCCTGGGAGTCTCAGAGTCCTCGTATGTAAAGCAAAAGCAAAAAAGACAGCGCCCCAGGGTGGGGGTTAGTAGAGCCTGGTGAATGGGTCCTCTGCTGTCCCTGGCAGAGCTACGTAGTGGGGGGGGGGGGGCTGGGCTGCTGGCCAGAGCCCCAAACCCACCAGCCTGCAGCACACGGAGTGGGCAGGGTCTGAGCCAGATCAGGCCCTCGTCCCCGCGGCCCCAGGACTTTCCCCACCCCCACCCCGGCAAAGGGCCTGGCCACTCACGGCACTCCTTCTCATCACTCTTGTCAAAGCAGTCGGGCAGCCCATCACACTGCCAGGCGCCGGGGATGCACCGCCCGTTGCCACACATGAAGTTGCCCGGAATGTTGCACTCGTTGGTGAAGTTGTTCCCAGGGAGCAGCTGGCTCTCTGCAGGAGAGAGGGGACGGGGAGGTCAGACAGGCAGAGGTGGCAAGGAGCCACAAACACCCCCCCCCCCCGAACGGGCTCTTGTTCGACGTGGGTCATGTACGTGAGACTTCCGGTGGGTGCCCTGACTTCCCTGGGCCTCAGTTTCCTCATCTGCACAATGGACTGATAGCCCACCCCACCCCAGGCACTCTAAGAGAACTAAATGGAAAAATATGGGGAATGCCTGTAGCAGGTGCTCAGCACATGGCAGGTGCTCACTGACTTTCTTCTTTCTCTGTCGAAAAACTCGGTAAAACCCAAACATTCTTCCAGGCCATCAGCAGTGGCTAAAAAGAAAGCTTCCAAGTCAGGAGTGAGCACTGGGCTCCCACTGCCTCCAACAGCAGGAACTGTGCGCTCCTTCCAGGCCTTGGACTCCGGGACCCTACAACCACTGAATATTTGAACCTGGGCCAGTCAGCAGGAACACCGGAAGACCATTTCCCTTCAGCCCACCAACCCACCAGAGGTCACATGGGGAGGGAAAGGCCAAACTGAAGCTTGAACTCAGGCCTTCTAACCCCCTCGGGGGACACCGAGGTCACTGGACTATTCGCCAAGAGTTCCTGGAGGTTTAGAACCAAGCCCCAAGATTTAGATCCCACTCCACTGAGCACAGTCACCAACTGCCAAGGCCCTGACCAGAAAGGGCCAAGTCTTAGGCTGGAAAGCAAACAGGGAAAGCCAAGGTCATGGGGGTGGGAGTGCTGAATTCATCCACCAACGGGCCTCAGGGCAGATTTTCAAGGGAGCCAGGATCTGACGAACCTCATCGGTCTGAGCCAGTGTGGTCAATGGCCGGGAGATAAGGAGCCATCTGGAAGTTAAGTTGTCTTAGGGGAAAAGGAGAGAAAAAGATCAGGGCCTCCACGGGTTCCTCCTGAATCTTCAATAAGCATTTACTGAACATTCATGACCAGATACCTGTGCAGGTCCTAACATTTCGAGTTGAACACTGGGGCTACCCCCCTTCAGGCCAGGAAGCCATGAGGGTATGCTAATGATCTTACTGCCAGGTGCAGAGAAAGAGGGATGCCCAGATCTGCCTGGGACCAGAGGAGCAGAGCAGGGCCCACGATCCTCTTTCACAAGCTTTACCAAAGAGAAGCATCTCATGCCAGATCCCTGACATGACCTCTGTTTCATGCCACTAGCCTTTGCGTAGCTTCTTATTTTTACCTGTGAGTCTCCAAATAAAACCCTACGTACCCTTTCGCATACAACATCTGTTACTCTATGAACTGCTCCCCGACTTCTCCAAGCAGAAATGAGCCCTCACTTTGTTGTGTAGTTTTAATGCTACCGAGGCGATGCTAAAAATATTTTACAACGGAACAAGTAGGTAACAACAAATTGGAAAGGACACGGTCACAGGCAAGCAGAACCACGTCAGCCACGGATATTCCTCGTAGACCACCCACCCCGCTGAGCTGAATTAATATCTACGTGCATGTCTCTCTACTGCAAATAAGCTTCCGTAGTTCACTGAAGAATTCTAGAACAGAAGCTGTAAGTGAGGAGGGGCCTCACCCTGCCCCAACTACCCACGCTAGAACCCTGAACATCTCCCTGACCCCTCCTCACTCCGCCACACGGAGGGCCAACCCACCCCACCCCCCCCCACCCCCCCCCCCCGGCCCCCCCCACCCCCCCGGCTGGCCCCCCCCCCCCCCCCCCCCACGTCCTCCTCTGTGGCCAGCAGGACCTTTCTAAAGAGCAAATCGATCATGACACTTCCTCACTTTGAAAAGCCATTGAATGCGGCCCCCCCCCTCCTTTATCTTAAGATAAAGTAAAAAACCAGGGCGTTAAGGAAAGTTTCCAGGAAAGAGGTGGCATTTACAGTGGCGGTTGACAGATGGAGAGATGAAATACAGGGCCATTCAGGCCCGAAGAAAAGAACGCAGGGAGGCTCAGCCCAGCGCACTGAAGGGGACGGAATAAAAACCGCACAGCTCTGATTGTTAGGGACTGCAAACATATCGTGCCACTATTTCCCCTACTCCAGCACCAGGGCAGACGTGATGCGTCACGGCACTCTGTCCCCTGAGCCCACACTCAGCATGGGACTCCTTCTCAAGACTGGACTCCAAAACACCACCGCCAACCTTGAGAAAAATGTGAAACCAATTCACCACCTTCGGGGAAGAGCAATCACAGGAGAAGGGGAATCGTAGGAGAGAAGCCTGGAGGGATGGCCAGGTGCTGGATCCCAGCCAGACACGGAATGCACAACCCAGAATGCCCACCCATTCCACCTGTTGACTCACAACTGCTCTGGGCTTCACCAGCAAGCTCCCCGGGAAGTCTTCAGGGCTCTAGAACGTAACTGTCATTCTGTTTGGTTTGGAAATCACTTACACTTGCCTTTGTAGAGTTGGCTCCTTGAAGGCAAGCCCCCTGGAAAAGTCACTGCAACTGTGAAATCTTGCTCTAATAAACAGATTTCCGGAGCCAGAAAATCGGTCAGATTAGTTTCCAAAGTGCTTGCTCCCGAGAGTCCATGGGCTGGCAGGACACGGACTTGACAAATGAGAGGGCGTAGAGCAGACACTAAATATCCGCCCGTGACACACAGGTGGTCCTGCCAGGCACAGGCTTGCGGAGGTTTAGGGGCAGGACCAGAGAACATTCTGTGCACTTCCGAGCAACTCCGCGACACATGCACGGGGCACAGGGCCTTGTGCTCCAGGAAAGTGACCATATCACCAAACTCAAAAGCATGAGGAAAAACCAAGGCAAAGAGAAGTTAAATCCTGTTGGCTCTGAATTTGAAGACATCTTCCTTAAACCCATCCGATGTGCTTTATTAAAGTGGCACCATCCCATTCCAAACCGCCATGTCTTCTTGTCCCCTTTAAACAGGTGGTTCTCAACAGGAGACCGTTCTGTCCCACTCCCCCCCCCCCCCCCCCCCCCCCCCCCCGACTCCGGGGGACACAGGCAGTGTCTGGAGACATTTTTGGTTGTGAGTTGAGGCCAGGAAAGCTGCAATCGGCAATGCAGAAAGCCTCCCCTCACAACAAAGAATCATCCAGCCTGAAATGTCTATGGTGCCGAGGCCGAGAAATTCAGGAAGTCCGAGGAAACCATGTCTCTTCTCATGCCCCCCAGTTCCTTCTTCCTCACAGCACAGTGGGATTTTAAAGTGCTACCAATGGCCTCTCAGAGCCCCGATTAATAAACCTATGACTCGAGCCGTGGTTTCCACGGCCTGTCGTGATCCGCCCTGTCCACCTCTGCAACCTCACCCCCTTGATGAGGAGTGTCCTCCCAGCACCGAGGACTCCACGCGCGGCTGCCTGCTGACCCCATTCCTCCGCCCCCCCTTCACCTGGTGTTACAGGTTCAACTGTGCGCCCCACCCCCATTCGATATGCTGAAGTCCTATCCCCTAGTACCTCAGAGTGTGGCTATATTTGGGGACAGGGTCTTTAAAGGGGTGATTAACGTAAAATGAGGTCATGCGAACGGGCCCTGATCCAACATGACTGGTGTCCTTATAAGAAGAGGGGAGACACAGACACACACGGAGGGACCACGGCAGGACAGAGGGAGAAGACAGCCATCTGCAAGCCAAGGAGAGAGGCCCCAGAAGAAACCGGCCCTACCCCAACCTTGAGCTCAGACCTGTGCGGAAACACATTGCTGTTGTTTGAGCCAGCCACTCTGTGGCACTTTACTATGGCAGCCGAAGCAAACTCATGCATCGGGCTGATCTTCCGGCTCGTCCTTCAGCCCTTGGCTTTCCATCACTTAATAGCCCAGACCTCGGGCGCCTGGGTGGCTCAGCAGGTTAAGCGACTGCCTTCGGCTCAGGTCATGATCCTGGAGTCCCGGGATCGAGTCCCACGTCGGGCTCCCTGCTCAGCAGGAAGTCTGCTTCTCCTTCTGACCCTCCTCCCTCTCATGCTCTCTCTCTCTCATTCTCTCTCTCAAATAAATAAATAAAATCTTAAAAAAAAAAAATAGCCAAGACCTCTTCACTGACACCCCGTCTAATGCGGGTCCCCCCGGTTTTTCACTCTGACAGTGTCCTGTGTTGTCCTTTATCCCTTCTGTGCTTACTGCCGCGTCTATACCTCCCCCCCCACCAGGCCGCACCCTCCAGAAGGCAGAGGCGCGCCGTTTCATTCAGCACATCCCTGGCCCCCGGGGCCCAGTAGGTCCCCAGCCGGTGTCTGTGGGTGCTCTAAGAAGATAACCAAGCGTTCGCTTATGATTCATTCCCACCCTCCACACTCTTCCTTGCAAAGTTCCATCCACTCCCTGCCTCATCCCCAAGAAAGCGAGTGGGATCTGGACATACATAGTTAAAAATAAGGAACACGGGGGTGTCTGGATGTGTGCAGGTACATTACTACCCCTTCTGCTTTAAAACAGGTAAGAAATCTTTCCAGCCCGACAGCAGGACTTTCTAGTGGCTGAAACGTTTATCCCATCTCCGTGTCGTGGGACACATTTAGAATCCAAAAAAGACAAGCATTAGCACGCAGTTGGCTAGCTGGGGTTTCTCCTTCTCCCTTTTCTTTTTTCATTAAGCTGAAAAATGAAAGAGTTGCCCATTTTCACTGCAGCACATCACTTAAACTTAAAATAACTCCACCATCTGCACCAAGAACGAAAAAAAAATTCCAAGTCCTCCCCCAGCGGGCAAAGGCAAACATCCTGCTGCAGCAGCTTCTTCCAAAACTTCTGGCACCCACAAATTTAAATTTGATGAGGGGGCCGAGACTGAAGCAACTGCAAAATCTCAAGACAGCTGCTGCATCCACCAAACTCCCCTTCTGGAACGTGCACTGTCGGTGATGTCGGCTTTTCCAGCTGAGAAGTGGGGCATCTATTCTACCTGCCGGGGGCCTCCACAGGCTCTGCTCTCTCCCTCCACCAATCCCCCCTCCCGGGACGCTCCTGGCCACGATGCAGAGCAGAACTGACATCTGCAAGCTATTGACAGG